TAAAATACATATATTATAGGGACACCTGGGTGGCTCAATCGGTTGGTGACCAACTCTTGATTTCGGCTCGGGTTATGATCTCAGTGCCACGGGATCGAGCCCCGAGCCAGGCTCCACACTGAGTGAGGAGCCTGTTTGAGATTCTCTCTCTCTCCCTCTGCCTCTCTCTCCCCTGCTCACATTCTCATTCTAAAATGAATAAACAAACAAGCAAATAAGTAAAATACATATGCTGGAAGAGAAGAAAGGCTAAAGATCAAATTAAATATTTAGTTCAAGAACTAGAAAAAAGAAGAGCAAATACAAAGTAGACAGAAGAAAAAACAGACCAGAAATTAACTCAATAGAAAACAAATATTAAATAGCAGAAATCAAAAGGGCACCCAAGTTGGTTCTCTGAAAAAGAGACAAAGCACCAATTACCAATATCAAGAATTTTTAAAAGGAAGTATCACAACAGATGCTGCAGAAAGGAAGGATATTATAAACTACTTTCCACTTATTACTTGGAAAGTCTGGGTGGTCCGAGCAAATTCCTAGAAAACAAAATGCCTTATCTAAACAGACACAAGAAGAAATATAAAATCAGAAAAATCATATTTCTACAATAAAAAATATGAATCTGAAATTAAAAACCTTCTCACAACAGCACCAGCAGGTTTTGCCTATCAATTCTTCCAAAAAGTAAACACAAAAAACTTCTTCTGGGAAAGCACAAGGTGTGCTTCCTCCCTTGTTTTATGAGAGCAGCACAACCTTAACCCCAAAGCCCAGCAAGGCCGGTACCAGAAAGTACAACTGAAGACCCGCCTCTCTCATGAATACAGATGCAAGAATCCGAAGCAAAATATTAACAAATAAAATCCAGTGAAAAGAGAATACATATACTTGGGATTATTCTAGAAGGACAAGAACATTTTTAAGTTAAACCACATTATAAAAAAAAAAAAAAGAAAAAAAAAAAACACTTGTCCCAAAAGATGGAGAAATCACATTTAAGAAAATTTAATATAATTTAATTGATGATTAAAAAAAAAACTTAGGAAACTAAAAATAGAAGAGAATTTTCATATTTTGGTAAAAGTATCCACCAATAAAGCCACGGCAGGTGTCATATGTAGTGGTAAAATACTGAAAGCTTTGGGGCACCTGGGTGCCTCAGTCAGTTAAGTGTCCAACTCTTGATTTCAGCTCAGGTCATGATCTCACAGTTTGTGAGTTCGAGCCCGACATCAGACTCCGTGCTGACTGTGGAGTCAGCTTGGGATTCTCTCTCTGTCCCCTTCTCTCTCTGCCCTTACCCCATGCACTCTCTAAATAAATAAGTAAACTTTAATAAATACTAAAGATCACCTTGCTGGAAACCAAAGCAAAAATGAACCATTGGGACCTCATCAAAATAAAAAGCTTCTGCACAGCAAAGGAAACAATCAACAAAACTAAAAGGCATCCGACAGAATGGGAGAAGATATTTGCAGGTGACATATCAGATACAGGCTTAGTATCCAAAAATCTATAAAGAACTTATCAAACTCAACACACAAAAAACAAATAATCCAGTGAAGAAATGGGCAAAAGACATGAACAGACACTTTTCCAAAGAAGACATCCAGATGGCCAACCGACACATGAAAAAATGCTCAACATCACTCATCATCAGGGAAAGACAAATCAAAACCACGAGATACCACCTGACACCTGTCAGAATGGCTCACGTTAACAACTCAAGCAACAACAGATGTTGGTGAGGATGTGGAGAGCGAAGATGTCTTTTGCACTGTTGGTGGGAATGCAAACTGATGCCGCCACGCTGGAAAACAGTCTGGAGGTTCCTCAAAAAACTAAAAATAGAACTACCCTACGACCCAGCAATTGCACTACTAGGTATTTACCCAAGAGATACAGGTGTGCTGTTTCGAAGGGGCATGTGTACCCCCATGTTTATAGCAGCACTATCGACAACGCCCAAAGTATGGAAAGAGCCCAAATGTCCATCGATGGATGAATGGATAAAGAAGATGTGGTGTATATATATATATACAATGGAGTCTTACTCGGCAATCAAAAAGAATAAAATTTTGCCATTTGCAACTACATGGATGGAACTAGACTGTATTACGCTAAACGAAATTGGGCAGAGAAAGACAAATATGACTTCACTCATATGAGAACTTTAAGAGACAAAACTGATGAACATAAGGGAAGGGAAGCAAAAATAATATAAAAACAGGGAGGGGACAAAACAGAAGAGACTCATAAATATGGAGAACACACTGAGGGTTATGGGAGGGGTTGTGGGAGGGGGGATGGGCTAAATGGGTCAAGGGCACTAAGGAACCTACTCCTGAAATCATGGTTGCACTATACGCTAACTAATTTGGATGTAAATTTTTAAGAATTAATTAATTAAAAAAATCACCTTGCTAATAAAAAAAAAAAATACCGAAAGCCTTTTCTCCAATATCTGGAAGGAGACAAGGACATCTCTTCTCACCACTTCCATTCAACACTGTACTGGAGGCCCTAGCCAGTACAAGGCAAGAAACATAAAAATGGTTATACTACTTGGAAAAAAACAAAAGAAAGTTACCAAAAGGCAACACTGAGAGAATGGAAGGCAGACACACACAAGAATGTGAAAACATCTGCCATTCACAGATGTTCAAAATACATAGAAAGAATTCCTTCGAATCAATAAAAAACAGACAACCCAATCATAAAACGGGCAAAAGGCAATTATTTCACAAAAGAAACACGCAAGTGGCCCAGAAGCACACGGGGGGCGGGTCCCGAGAGAGCAGCACGTTCGCACCACACCTCCTGGCACCCAGGCCCCAGAACACAGCTCACACACGCGAACCGGCACCAGCAGGCATCGGCCAGCCCCGAGCGCCCCCGCACCGTTGCTGGCGGGGAACAGACCCACGTGCCACCACTCACGCCCCGCTCCGCCGAGCACACCCTGCAGAGATGTACGCGGATCCGCGGGGCGGCCTCTGCACGAACCGGAGCACCCGCAGGAGAAACAATAAACCGTGCTGTGCTCGCACACTGGGCCCTCGACGGCAGGGGAGGACCCGCACAGCCACACGAGGCAAGCAGGCGCATCGCGCGCGCACAGCGCTGAAGGGTTAGCCCGTCGCGAAGCCAAGAACATGCCAAAGCAATCACTGGTGAAAGTCAAGACCGTGGTTAGCTCTGGGGGACGTTCGCCGGGAGTGGGCGGGAGGGGAATTCTGGGAAGCGCAGGAAGGTTCCATTTCTTCATCCAGGTGGTGGTTCCAAGAATGTGTTCGCCGAGTGAAAAGTTCACAATCGTGAATGTACATTTCAGTGAATTTTTCTGATTATGTTACGGTTACAATTTTTTAGAGTATTATTACTTGCGTACAGCACAAGTGCACTCACTTTACTTACGTACCTATCCGCCCACACTATCAGCTGCCAAACGGGAGACGGGGATCAGGAGAGGGAAAGGTCCGGAACAAGTTTACTCAATGGTTCCCGTGTTTCTGAAATGCTGGTCTCCGGTCCTCAGGGGAGGTGGGGAGGCAGGGTGGTGGAGAGGTCCTCAGGTGGGGAGGTAGGACGGTGGGGAGGGGGGGGGAAGGGGAGGTGGGAAGCCACCGTTGCATTCTCCACTCAGCGAAGCACTCCCAGGCTGAAAACAAATCACTGAGCGACTGTGTCACCACCCCCCCTGGTGTGACAACCTCTACTGCACAAAACTGCTGTCCCTTCCATTCTGTCATGATGTGGTGCGTGCTCAGTCTTTCAAAAACCTAGCTGCTCAAACACAGAAGCATTTCATATGCACTTCGGTGCACCACCTCAAGTTCCACTGAAACAAATACAATTACAAAACAAAGTAACAAACAAAACTACGGAAAACGAAAAACGTACAAGCACAACGAAATCCTGGTAGAGCTTCACTTGGCCTGCGCTCTTGAGCTCGCGGAAATAAAACCTGGCCCGGACACTCCAGATGGTCTGTGAGGCTCCTGTGAGAAAGCCGTGACGGTTCTCTGCCCCAAAAGAAAAAGAGCGCTACAGGAATGACGTCAGATTATTGTTGCTAAAAAGGAAATGCAAACGTTGGGCTTATCGATCTTTCAGGAGAGCGGACCGCAGCCCGCAGCCAAGAAACGCATTCGGGCTAGCAATTATTCATTTACCACCTGCGCACTGCAGACCCGCACATGCGTGTACGCGGGATCCCGGGTAAGCCGAGGGACGCCAACGTGGCGCGTGAACACCCAAGCAGCCCCCGTGCCTCCCGCGCGCTCGGTGCCACTCACCTTCCGCCTGCCTGGGCGACGCTTTCGGCCCTCACCTACCATTACATCCTCACTCAGCTCTGCCAGAAAAAGCCACGACACGCCAGGCCCGGGGTAACCTACTCAGACCAACAACTTCAGTGTTCTCTCAAGCTTTACGATTCCCATCAGCCACAGGGAAAGTTCCAAAGGAATTAATCTCAGTCTCACAGCCCCCATAACAACTTCGGTTTATAAAACACGGGTGTTCGTATAAAGACGGCCTGCGAAAATATCGTTCCTGGGAAATCAATCCAGTCTGTCCATTAAGTTTCATTAGAAAATTGGAAATCTGTGACAAAACCCGGGAGAAGTACACGTGCAACAGGAAATGGCCTAAGATGACAGAAGAGAAGGCACCACGCAGCTTGGTTGCCTCACGGCCCTTTCCCAAAATCTCTAGGGCGGCGTCCCCCATCTCCACAGTTCCTCCTGCTTCCCGAGGAAAGGGACAAGCGTCACGAGGCGCACAGAGTAAAGCGCCTGACTTTAGAGCACCGCGGACTCTGTTCCCCGCCGGGGGGTCAACTCTGTCCGTATGTGACTTACGAAAACCAGGACCACCACTTCACAGATGGTTACGCACGACACTCACCCAAAATATTAACACCACGAAAGCCGATACTGGGACACAACGTTTAGAAGGAGAAAGTCTGAGAGGGTGCAGGTGAAAAGCATCCGTACCTGTGGAAGGGCAGTGTTGAGCTGTCTCTGCAAGGAATCTCTTTCATGACCGACCTCATGCAACTTCCCCTGGGTCAACGCCAGCGTTTCCTGAGTCTCGCGCAGCGTGTCCAGGAGACGGTCCCTCTCCTCCAGCATGGACACCATCAACTGCTCAAAGTGGGAATCTGCATCCGGCTGCGAAGGGGAGCCCGACCCGTGGGTCCCACTTCCTCCGGGCGGGCCTTCTGCCTCACTGATGGTCGGCATCACCTCGCACATCATCTTGAAATAAAAGACCCAGGCTACAGTCATCAAGCGCAAACTAAAGGCTCCACAAACCTGCAACTTTACGGCTATCTGTAGCTAATAACTGAAAGGTTGGCGGCCTCGTTACTCTCAGAGCTGGCTGTTACGCTCTGAACAGACGAGAAGCCGGGAAAACACCAAGCCTAAGTGCCAGAACACGCGAGATGAACACGTCTGTACGGACAATAATCCAGTTTAGGGGTAAAGACCCAAGCCTACCCCTCCCCTAAAGGACAAACCCTGTGGCATTTTGTTTGCAAAGCTGTACTTTCCAGTTGTTGAAAACAAGTGTGCTTCTGTAAACTTTTTTTTTTT